ACCCTGGTAAATTGACCAATTGTTGGGTTATGACTTTGTTTACCCCTTCCCCTGACTACATGCCTGGGCGTCAATTTACGGAGTCAAGTTAATGTGAATCCAAAAAACATACAAATTGGCAAACTTAATTATATTGTATTCATATACTACCAACATAATTTCTTAAAACACCTTCCTTTTCATTGGATATTTACAGGTGCCAAAGCAATCCAAAGGGAAGCTAGAAGAAAGCAGATGGAACTTCTCTTTCCAACGACACCCAATCCCAATACATCCATGCTTTCCAAATCCAATAATGGCAAATGTGATTCTCTGTCCCATCAACTTGAGACTGTTACTCCTGACCAGGCAACCTCCCTTCCTGTTACTTCTGACCAGTCTACCACTGTACCTGTTACTCCTGACCAGTCAACCTCCCTTCCTGTTACTTCTGATCAGTCCACCACTGTACCTGTTACTGCTGACCAGTCAACCTCCCTTCCTGTTACTTCTGACCAGTCTACCACTGAACCTGTTACTGCTGACCAGTCAACCTGTCTTCCTGTTACTTCTGACCAGTCTACCACTGAACCTGTTACTGCTGACCAGCCTACCTCTCTTCCTGTTTTTTCTGACCAGTCTACCTCTCTATCTGTCAATTCTGACCAGCCTTCCTCTCTTCCCGTCACTTCTGTCCAGCCTACTTCTCTTCCTGTTACTTCTGGTTTAACCTCTTCTCTTCCTGTTACTTCTGGCCTGCCTACTTCTCTTCCTGTTATGTCTGGCCTGCCTACTTCTCTTCCTGTTATGTCTGGCCTGTCTACTTCTCTTCCTGTTACATCTGGCTTGCCTTCCTCAATTCCTGTATTTTCTGACCAGCCTACCACTCCTCCTGTTACTTGTAGCCTGCCTACTTCTCTTTCTGTCACTTCTGAGCAGCCTACTCTTCCAGTTACTTCTGGCTTGCCTTCCTCTTATCCTGTGACTTCTAATTTTTTGGACCTTTTGAACTCTCAAGAACCTCAAGATTTGAACATTTCCCAATTTATCCAACCCAATCCTGTGTCTCCACCTTCTGTTCCTAATCAGTCAATGTATACACAATCCAATCCAACAGTCCAACAGCTGGTACAACACATGATGGATTCGCAAAAGGCACAGCAACAACTACAAAACCACCAGTGTAGAGTTTGGGAGATATTGACCCTCAATCATCAGACAACTCACAGCCAACAGTTAAAAGTGTGGGAATCTATAACCCTTAAGCACAATGAACAATTGCAATGTAAGTAATCTATGTTTTGAATGAATACTTAGGAAATAGTTCTGAATACTCTATGCCTGAATAAAGGAGAGATACAGATATTTCCTAAGCGAATCACAAACCTATATTAACAGACTCCACACTATTTTCCCTAAAATATAGCAATAATCGTGAATGATTTTAGTTCAATAGTTATTTCATACTTAATATGCACATGTACAGAATTTTTCAAATTTTGGAGGTCAATAATTAAATCTCAAAGAATATCAAATAGCATTTCAAAATTATCTTTATCTTTTTGATTTACTGCCATTTCTCAATTTTTGTACTCCTTGAAAAAGAAAGTGGATACTGGATATATCTTATCAACTTATCTGTTACTTCATCCTACTGGACATAAGATAAATACATATATTTAATAATATTCTGTATATTTTTCAGTTCAAAACAGACTACTAGAGAGGATGCTCCAGCAACCAACTCCTAACAACCTCACTACCTCATCAGTACAGCCTACATCAGTAACATTTACATCAACACCATCTACATTCTCACTATATTCACCATCATCTTCAGAGGAATCCATTTCACCTCTCGACAGTAACAATGATGATGATGATGATGATGATGACAGCTCTGTCCCTCCTCCATCTCCTCCACCAACATCTGAGCCAGAATGGCATGCACTGGTTGCACCACGAAGCCAAAGTGAAAGAGATATCATGTTGAGAACAGTAAGTATATTTACTTCATTTTATTTGTCAAGACTGCAAAATCCTATTTTTAGTTCATGGGGATTTGTGATAGTAGGAACACTTATATTATAAGTAAGGAGCAAACTGTAATATTGAGTTATGCATTTAAAGATGTTTCACTTTTCATTATTTTATATATGGGAAATCAACCAACCTAGATGAAAGTTTTATGATTGATTAACATTTTTGAAAAAACACACTTCTAATGTCATTTTTGCAATTTACAACTTGCTTTCACTTTGATTATTCAATGAGGAAAATATTCATGAATTCTATTGCCATCTCGCCTATTACACAATTAGTTTGTTCAGTTTACTGAAAAGAATTGGAGCAACTGGTTCAAACTTCAGAATATGTCTAATTCTATTCAATAATGATTTTTCAGTCCATACCAGAGGTTTTAAAGCGAAATGCTTTAGCTACCAGGGAACAGTCCAAGGCCACGAAAACCTTGTTAGTTGGTATGTTCACCTATCGGGAGCTAACGTTTATGAATTTAACTGGGCGATCCCAAAGTGGTAAAAGGATTGTGGGAATCCTTGACCAAGTCCGCACACAGGCCATTATTGGTAAGTGTATATTCAAAAAATCAAGGTTAAAGCTGCAGCAAAAATAGAGGGTAAAGTCACCATTGAATTGTTTGAAATTTACCCTAACATCTTTAGTTTTGTTGCCCTTTTAACCATATTTAAGGCAGTTTAGAATCAGTTTGAGGTATTCATAATGTAATCATAAAATTGTGTACAAACCAATACCCAATTGATACCACAGCTTGCTCAGTGTTATGTTGATCTCAGAAAGGGGCTGTATGTATAAAAGAACCACTGATACTATGAGCTTGCTCCGAGGTAGGTTGAACTCAACATGGGTCCTTTATTTGGTCTTGATTTGTGCACATGTTATTTCATTGAATGATCATAAAGTAACTTCTATGTTACATGAGACAAATGATGCAATTATTAGAGGTAGTTTTGCATAATAAGCAACATATTACAAGGTCACATATATTATAAAATTGATGTGGTTCTTAAATTTTATTACAAAGAGTAATTGCAGTAGGTAGTAACCAGTTTCACCACCAGGTGGCTTATTCGAATCAAATAACATGGTATAGGGAATATTTTTCATGGTTTTATATCTTTTGGTCTATTGGGAATAAAACATGAAATCACATTTTCAAAGAGAAAATTGATAATGTAAGGATAAAAGCTCACTTCAGACCATATATGATGTCATATACTATCAATTTGTTTATTTCATTGTAGAGAGATGAAATTAACTTGAAATTCTTTTAAGTTCTCACTCAACTTAAAAGTCACAAACTATGATTTCAGATTTTGTCTCAAGCAAGTTCAGTTGTTCGAGGAGTGATGTCCGAGCAGTAATTGGAAAAAAGATTAGGGACACACAAAATCCAAAACGGAACTCTTTAATGAGAGAATAAATGGGGCATAAGAGACTGAATCTGAAATACATGTGTTGGATTCCTGACAGCTAGGAGCGCTTATGATTAAAGAGAAAGTGTTGCCTTTCTCTAGATAAAACATGAACTTTACAAGTTTGCTCACATCAAAAAGTTAATAATATGTAAATATGTATCGCACCTTTGTAATTCTAATAAAGATGTAGAATGATATTTTGCCAACAAATACACACGTTTTTTTTTATATTTTTGCCTGACTTGAGGACCATTTAAACCAGGATGATCCAGCTTTATAAATGTATTAATGTACTTCATGTACTTCAGTCACAGGTTACTCAGCTCAGTTCTGATTTTATGTCACAAGGATAGGTGTGCTGAATAGACCTGCCTCATCTTTGACTTTACAAGTTTGACTTAAGCAGATGAGCTTAATAATTAGCAATCATTTAATCTTTGCCAATAAACTGGTTTATAAACTGGTTAACTAAAATAATGGTTGCAATAGTTGCAGTTCCCCAGCAATGGTTGCAATCAATTGCAACTGTTTATTTCAATGAGTAATGGTTGCAATGGTTTCGCAATGGTTTCGCAATGGTTTCCCAAAAATGGTTGCGTAACCATTGCAACTTAATGTAAAAAGGGTTGAAAAGATTATATGAAGTAATGGTTGCGCAATGGTTTTAAATGGTTGAAATAAAGATTTTTCCTTTGATCTTCAAGGTTGAAACGATGGTTTATCGATATGCAATGAAACCATTTAAATTCGGAAAAAATGGTTGTTTTTTTCATAAGGGTACCTAGCCACGAATTAAAGGGTCTAGAAGCGAATGAGAAGAATTGAGAGTTGAAGTTACAAACTGTAACAATCTTACAATATTCTTGCTATCTTCCTTGTCAGGCCTGTTTTCTAAAAAGTACAACAGTTATGATAATAAAAATAATCCAGTGATTCCTAACCGATTATAATTTTGTATGTGTACAAAATATGAACAAAATCAGAGCGGCCAACAGTATTTCAATTATTGCCAAGACAGATGTACTGACAGATGTACTTACGGACGGACAGATGGACTGACAGAGCAGTTTGGGTCATATCCACTCGACAGTAGCCCCAGGCGGATATAAATATTTAGAGTCGAGTGTAAAATTGAAGTGACTTGCCTCATTGGCAAGCATGAAAAACATAAAATTCGCCATTGTCGATTATTATAGAACTAAGTCAATTTAAAGTACTTTCATAAACATATTACTTTCTTTTTAAAGAAGTATTATTCAAAAGAAAACTTTGAGTATACATATCATCAGTGGCAACACTGTGGCGAGTGTAATTTTTCATTGGCGAGTGTGAAAACATGAGTGGATTGCCACATGGCGAGTGTCAGAAAAATCCTAAGATTCACACTGCAGAGGCGTTCCCTATATCCCTCTGAACTTCATTTGATGGGATAACAAAATAAAGCAGCCTTGAGGATCTTGAGATACCAAAACAATGATCAATACAATTCCTCATTATGTAAACAGAACGGTTAAAAGTGCAGATAATGACCATTTTTAAGTTTAATTTACATCCCAAAATTGAGAAAGTGAAGAATTATAATGATGATTATCATGTCTAGTGAAATATTCATTCTGATCTTTAAATGATCTTTTGGTATGATCCCTTAGCTTTAGTAATTACATATGTGCATATGCAGGAAGAGTCTGTCACACTTGGACAACAACAGAAAACATTAAGATGATCCTGCCTTTAATGATCCTTGTAGCACTGTCGTGCATATCACATTGTGATGCAAAATGTAGTAAATGTAAGTATATTTTGATTTACATGGCCTTGTTAATCAGTTTGAAAACTGCTAATTCATTTCATCTTTTTTGATGATTTTACTTTCTTGTTTAACTTTTTTCCAACTACCTTTATAAGAATTGTCCTATATTTAGAATTGTCTAATATTCTATACTGATATATACATATGCATTCCAGATGTCTGGGCACATATAGAAAATACCTGTATTAAAAGTGAAAACGTGAAGATATTCACATCCAGCAATGTATTTGACTGTATGCAAGCATGTGAGGATGAAACCACATTTACGTGTATGTCTATATTTCATCAACTTTAAACCTATAAACTAGTTAAGCTTAACTTTTACAATTTCAAGCATATCAATGTGATATGTTAAATTAGTATTGACAGTATACTTATTAATATATAAACTGTATATTTAATAATTGTATTTCAATATATTCAATATGTATTTATTAATTAATATTTTATTAAGCTCTGGCTGAAAAGGTATATAATCTTTACACAGTGTTTCTTATAATTTTTAACATTATTATTAGACTCCAGATTGAAAATCTAGAGTCTATTTTTAGTTCTTCTTATTCTTATCTACACGTTTTCATCTTAAAGTCTTTATTTAGATTTTTGCTTATATCACATTTACATAGATTCAACATTTCGGTTTTAAATTTGGTAAGAATAGAACATATACATTTTCTTTCTCATTTTCTCATCAATATCAGATGTCAAATTTACTTTTTAAAGATTCTCGCAATCTTTATCCAATCAGCGTTTGCGATGTGTATCGGCTCACGTATAAAAGGCGAATCCAACTCAAATCCATGCAGGGGTGTATGAGGAACTCGAATAGGAAAGAGCTCGTGAAATCTGAATTTATATGCACATGGTCAATGTTTACACATGTTTGGAGTTATTGAAGAAAATGTGATATGGGCGTGGTTCCGAATTTGAAGTCATTGCTGGAAACTATGATTTTAATATGTGAAATTATATCTATAAATACAGCACTAAAAATAACAGTACACATGAAGTACATGTATGATTGTGTCCAGAAATGTTTGAAACCCTTACGGAAAATTCTGTCTGCATTTTGTCATCATTGCTCTTTCTTCCCGCATTCTAGTGCTATTTGAATGAATATATTTATTAATGTATTTCTATCACTTTTTTGATAAACCACAATCATTTAGATCATAAAAAATATTCAATACTTGAGTGAGCATGATATGCAAGGGTTACTAAGTTGACACAGTAAATGACCACTGATATTGAGTTAGTCCATGCACACAGTATTCTGCTAATACACTAACACCCCTCACTTTCATAGTGAAGTGACTAATTGGTTTATGTTTACGTTTTAATGTGTTTTGTGTTCCTTGTTACAGCAAGGGGGGCCAGTAAAGTAGACTAACATGTTTGCATGGCAAATTTTGATCGAATATGTGAGACACTTTAAATAAAAATCTTGAATCTGGAGTCTTGAACTGAACTTGTTCAATTTCACCAATATAATATTTTGTGTTTTTGTACTAATTTTCAAATTTTGCCTGTTGTTTAGCTGAATTTAAGTTTTTTGAAAACAAACTATATTCAGTTCAAATAACTCCATATTACTGCCCGATACTGAAGTGAATATGAACGAATTCTCAGATTAAGGCAATTATCCTATACCGCGAATCTGTATTTGAATACAATGTCCAAACATAAAATATACTTGTTTATAGTATTAGAACTTCCCTTGTGGTTTCTGTAGGCAGGTCAATTGATTACCATTCTGGTGCTAAGGAATGTCATCTCGCAATAAGACATTCTGGAAATTGGCAACTCAGCAGTCCATGTTATCTGGCAGGGTGGCAATATGCAGAACGATGAACTCGTAAGAATATTTTGTTTGAAATTGACCCATGAAAATATTCAGGCAACTCTGATCCTGATAAAAAAGATTTCAACATAGACACATGGTGAGGCCATGCACTTTCATGGTAAGACCATGCGCTTTCATGGTGAGGTAATGCACTTTCATGGTGAGGTAATGCGCTTTCATGGTGAGGTCATGCGCTTTCATGGTGAGGCATATTTGACTAACATTGAGTGCCATTTATTTGAAACTAGAGCAAATGAGATATTGCAGAGTTTTTAACAAACGGTCAAAATCCTGAATCTGAACTTCTGAGCCTGATACGTAACCTGTCACCAAATGTTTTTACATGTCTAGGCGTCCCATCCATCTTATGGAAAATCAATTTGTCAACTTGAATAATAAAAAGGTATGTTTTGATCCATTATGGTTGAAAATGTGAAAACAAGAATTTTGCAACCATTAGATTGAAAAAAAAGGAATCTTGGGCGAACACTAAGGAGAATGAACATTATTGAAAGAAAAGCTGCATGTCAACTCAGTATAAATATATTTATTTTCAGGAGAACATTGGAGCTGGTATGACCTGTCAAACACATGCATTAAGGGTCAGAATATACATGCCTTTACAACTACTTCATTAAGCGCATGTAAGGAGGCATGCACGAATTATGGAGATGGTTTTACTTTCGACTACAGAGCATCAGACAAGACATGCCACCTTCAATCAGTGTATTCTGGCACATCTGTGTTAAGCAGTCCATGTTATTTAAGTGGATGGTATTATGCTGAAAGATTGTACTTTTAATCTACATGCAGATCTCTACAACAGCAATTTGAAATTATAATGTAAAATCTAACATTGATTGAATAAAATGTTGACTTTCAAAATATCAATGTCTTGGTTTTTTGAAGGTATATGTACATATGGACAGAACATGGTATATGAACTTAGATGCATGATCATGCTATGTTCTAGGAAGAATGATTGATCATGTTATGAACTAGGATGAATGATCATGTTATGAACTGGATTATTATGTTTTTCAAACATTGTTGAATTCAGTTCACCATATCGATACCTGTCCTGAGCAAATCTACTTTGCCCATAGGCATCATCATTTTATTTAAACCAAATCCATTCCCTGGTATTTGGGTTACCAAAGATTACGTTTTTTTTTTTTACAAAAAATGGCTGCCATTTTTGATATTTAGCAGCCATTTTGAAAATCTCTTCTACAGCATAATCTTGGGAATATACACAAACCCTTGTGTCACCCACTCATTGTATATGTATATTGTATGTGTTTTGTGAAATAAACAAATTGAAATTGGAATAAGCTCCTTTGTCCCTAGGCATTAGCATATAAAATTTGAACCAAATCTGTCAACCAGTATTTGAGTTATCAAAGATTATATTTTTTATGAAAAATGGCAGCCATTTTGAATTGAGCGGCCACATTGAAAATTCTTTCTTGAGCAGAGATTCTACCCCCATAAGGCATAAGCCTATACGATTTGAATCAAATCCATCAACTGGTATATGAGTTATCACCCAGACAAACAGAAGGACGGACGGATGATTGAACGGACGGACGAACGGTTTTCCTATATCCCCCTCGAACTTCTTTCGGTGGGATAACTAGGATACATGATCGTGTTATGAACTAGGATGAATATTCATGTTATGAAATAGGATTTATGATCATCTTATGAACTAGGATACATGTTTATGTTATGAACGAGGATACATGATCATCTTATGAATTAGGATATATGATCATGTCATGGACTAGAATGCAAAACATCACGTTATGAACTAGGATGAATGATCCTGTTACGAACTAGGATTTATGATCATCTTATGAACTAAGATACATGTTCATGTTATGAACTAGGATACATGATCATGTTATGAACTAGGATGTATGATCGACATGTTATGAACTAGGATGAATGATCATGTTATGAACCAGTTTGCATGATCATTCTATGAACTAGGATGCATGATCATGTTATGAACTATGATGAATTATCATGTTATGAACTAGGATGAATTATCATGTTATGAACAAGGATGAATGATCATGTTATGAACCAGTTTGCATGATCATTCTATGAACTAGGATGCATGATCATGTTATGAACTATGATGAATTATCATGTTATGAACTAGGATGAATTATCATGTTATGAACTAGGATGCATGATCATGTTATGAACAAGGATGAATGATCATGGCATGAACCAGTTTGCATGATCATTCTATGAACTAGGATGCATGATCATGTTATGAACCTGGATACATTACACCATGTTATGAACCAGGATCCATAACATCATGTTTTAAACTGGATGATTGATCATGTTATGAACTAGGATGAATGATCATGTTATGAACTAGGATCCATAGCATCATGCTTTGAACTGGATGATTGATCATGTTATGAACTAGGATGAATGATCGTGTTATGAACTAGGATGAACGATCATGTTATGAACTAGGATGCACGATCATGTTATGAACTAGGATGAATTATCATGTTATGAACTAGGATGAATTATCATGCTATGAACTAGGATGAATGATCATGTTATGAACAAGGATGCATAACACCATGTTATGAACTAGGATCCATAACATCATGTTTTAAACTGGATGATTGATCATGTTATGAACTAGGATGAACGATCATGTTATGAACTAGGATCCATGATCATGTTATGAACTAGGATCCATAACATCATTCTATGAACTAGGATACATGATCATGTTATGAACCTGGATGCATAACACCATGTTATGAACTAGGATCCATAACATCATGTTTTAAACTGGATGATTGATCATGTTATGAACTAGGGTGAACGATCATGTTATGAACTAGGATGCATGATCATGTTATGAACTAGGATCCATAACATCATGTTTTAAACTGGATGATTGATCATGTTATGAACTAGGATGAACGATCATGTTATGAACTAGGATGAATGATCATGTTATGAACTATGATGCATAACATCATTCTATGAACCAGGATGCATAACACCATGTTATGAACTAGGATCCATAACATCATGTTTTGAACTGGATGATTGATCATGTTATGAACTAGGATGCATGATCATGTTATGAACAAGGATCCAAAGCATCATGTTATGAACTAGGATATATGATGATGTTATGAACTAGGATGCTTGATCATGTTATGAACAAGGATCCAAAGCATCATGTTATGAACAAGGATGCATGATCATGTTATGAACAAGGATCCAAAGCATCATGTTATGAACTAGGATATATGATCATGTTATGAACAAGGATCCAAAGCATCATGTTATGAACTAGGATATATGATCATGTTATGAACTAGGATGATTGATCATGTTATGAACAAGGATCCAAAGCATCATGTTTTGAACTAGGATGATTGATCATGCCATGAATTAGGACACATGATCACATCATAATTAAATTAGTACTTTTATTTCTTCATTTATCTAAATCTCAGATCACACTGATTATAGCATCATGATAGTTTGAACACAGTGGTGGAATTCTTCAAACTGGTCACGAAAACAGATCCAAGGAGCTTCTATGGATTATTTCCCAATAATTTCATGAGATGTGTAGGCAGAATTTTCACAACCTTTTTGGCACAAACATGTGTCAGTATCATATGTTCCAGAATGAATAGTTCTTGCAGAAGTTAACCATTATCAAAGTTCCATTTATGATGTCTCTTGAAATATTTTATATGACCTTTTGATATGATCCTTCAGTAAAGTAATCAATGTGCATGCAACTAAAGTCTCTCACACTTGGGGAACAAAAGAAAACATGGAGATGGCCCTGCCTCTAGTGATCCTTGCACTGTTGTGTATATCATATGGTGATGCACACTATGGTATATGTGTAGCACAGATGTATGGCTTGATTTATATGACCTAATCTTAATCAGTTTCAATATTGCCCATTCATTTTATCTTCCTTTAATGATCTTACTTTCTAGTTTTCTAGTTTTTCCAACTACACTGTACCTTTATTAGAATTGTCTAAAAATACAGTAAAACCTGAGAACTAGGAACACTCTCCATAGAGGCCAAAAGTGTTTTAAAAGATTTACAGAATTTTGGCTCAATATCACACAAATACATTTCTATTATATCTTATAACGGTTGTGCCAGTCCCTAGAATAGCTGAACTAGTCGGATGAAATCAACTTTTGTTGAAAGAAAGCATTAGTGTCAATTGGAAATTTATAACAAACAGATAAAAATTAAAAAAACATTAGGGGTAAACAGTGGTAGGGATGTCGCAGCTTGTGAACAATCGGATTATCCTAATCTCATTCATATTTGTGTCAGTATATGAAATAGCTCAACTTGTCAGATGAAATCAACTTTTGTTGAAAGAAAGCATTAGTGTCAATTGGCAATTTATAACAAACAGATTAATTAAAAAAATATTTGGTTAATTAACTACTTAGGGATGTCGCAGCTTGTCAACTAATTGGCTTATCCTAATCTCATTCATATTAATCTAATCTCTCTAGAATCACACACTGGCTTAAGTCATTTGCACCTCTAAAAATGGGATGTACAATGTAACGACATTTTCCATGTTCCTTGTGAACTGGTAAATTTTTAAAATTTGCCCTAAATGTTCCTTGTTCCCAGTAGACAGATGTTCATTACAAAGCTCTGTTAACATGTAAGTCAATAGAAAAAATTGTTCTTATGAAAACTCTTCCTTGTATACAGGCGTTCCTAACACACAGGTGTTCTATCAGACAGGTTTTACTGTATTTACCGACTAACTTACCATCCAAAACTAGAAAAATGCAACTCCACGGACGATAAAATCCCATGAAACAAAACATGTTTTGATTAACAGTGGCCATCTTGAGAATTTTCCTTGAACAGAGCTCCTTTGTCCCAATTGATCAGCACATGGGACATGGCAAAAAGAGGCCCTTTTGTAATTTTCAAATTTCACTGTTGATATTGTTTAGCCGATTTTAAGTTTTTGAAATCAAAATATTTATTTTAACAGGCTCTCAAAACTCATTTCGAAGGAACCTCTATATTACAGCAGACACTGAAGTGAATTCTATCAAATTTAGATAACACCATCAACAAGGAGAAAAAAAAACCTTGTGAAATTTTTACTTTGTCCATTTATAACCTTGTGCATTTATTACATTGTGCAATTCTTACCTTGTGCATTTATTACATTATGCATTTCTTACCCTGTGCATTTCTTACATTACACATTTCTTACCTGGTGCATTCCTTACATTATGCATTTCTTACCTTGTGCATTCTTTCCTGGTGAACACCAACATAGTTGAGAGCATCCTGAAGGAATGAATGGCGCAGCTGAGACAGCATGGACATTGTCAATTGTGTTGCTAGGCAATATATTGATGACCATGTTGGACTTTCAGATGCTAGTTCACATTTTTCCTGTACCTTTAAAAAAAGAATAGGAAGGAAACAGTGGTCAGTAGAGTAGACTAAGAGTCTGCTGTTGCAGTATGTTCAGAATGTAGAACATATTGTGTGGGTATCTGTCTGAATGGTCAATGTGGCATTTTTAAAATAGGCAATGGTCATTTGAAAAACTAATGGTTGCTATACCACTGGGGATCAACTGGAAATGAAGACATGATGTCTTCGTTGTTTCAGCATGGCAAACTTCTAATAAACAACAGCATAAATGATACCTTTCTTGCTCATCAAGAACGAGGAGAGGAGAATATGGATATATACATTGCAAACCTTGATGACATCATGGTGGTGATATCAAATGACTTAGTAGCAAAGGAATCTGAGATTAAAGGGACACTACTGAAAGATACACATGATCTTAAATGGATTGATTGTGCCTATGATATTCTCCTAAATAGTATCAGTGTTTACAACCAGGTCGGACTAAAATGGATTCATGAGCATATTACTGAGTTCATAAAAGAAGAACCAGACAGAGTACTAACATTACAAGCATATATACGACATGTTGTTATGTAGCTTGTACTTCACTCAAGAAATGTGATGGACCCTGTTGTAGTTCAAGATTTTCTTTAAGACTTAGGAAGTGAATTTCACTCAGTTTATGTAGATTTATACAATCGCAATCATAAATAAGCACTTTTCAGGAAATCCTAGGGGGAGATTTGTGATTCGTTACATAAAGTCAACATGTTTTGAATAACATTGTCTTTTTAGGATATTATTTGTTATTATTGGTAATAGTCATGTACATGTACGATGAAATTATGTAATAAAAAACGCAAACTTCTGTTAGAAGAATTTGGCAAGAATTTTTCCATCAAATTTTAACTTAATATTTGACCAGCTTGTAATGCACAGGTTCTGGTTAGGAAATATGATTACATCTCAGAAACAGATTGAAGTAATCATTTTGATATATTCTACTTGAGGCAAACACATCCACCTGCCATCGAGGCAAACCCCTTGAGACATACACAACCCTTAGAGGCAAACACAACCCATTGAGAAATATAAAGCCTTAAGAGGCTAACACATCCCCTTGAGACAAACACAGTCCCTTGAAGCACATAAAGCCCTTAAAGGTAAGCATAACCACTTGACACATAATATTTTGAAGTAAACACAATCTCATGAAGAAAACAACACTTTAATGCAAACACAAACAATTGATACAAGGACACTCACCTGAGGCAAACATAACCACTTGAGGCAAACACAATTACATGAGGAAAACACAACACTTCGAAACAAACACTAACAATTGAAAACAAGGACTTCCACCTGATGCAAACACAACCAATCGAGGCAAAAACAGTCACTTGGGGCAAATACAATCCCTAGAGCCATTTGAAACCTTTTAAAGCAAACACAACTACTCGAGGGAAACACAAGGCAAACAAAATCATATGAGACAAACACAATACTTGAAGCAAACATAACTACTTGAAACAAGCACATTCACTGGAGGAAACCACACAACTAACTGAGGTAAACAAAACCACTTGCAAATAGATTTTCTTGAGACAAACACAGGCACATGAGGCAAACAAAAGCTTCGAGAAAAACACAATATTTGAACTTACATTTTTAGCCTGTATATTTTTCAAGGGGTCTTCACTGTAGGCTCCTTGTAAGGGTAAACATGTGTGTTGTGTTAACCCATTCACTGCCAGGGCCTCAGCAGATAACTGGTGTTTGGAAAGAGTAAGGAATAACATCAGAACTGCCTGCACGTACTTCAGTCCTTGCTTCACCTAGAAAACAGAAATAACAATAACCTATGAGCTATAATTGGTTGATTAGATTTGGTGAGGCAAAGTGGGGCAAAGTGAGGCCACTCATGAACTGTCACATGAACTATATGTAATTATCTCTCAAAAGAGAAGCCTCCCACCCTATTGCCAACCCCCCCCTACTATTTACAAAGGTAGGGTAGCATCAATGAATGAAACTGCTGGTTGACAGCTATTGGGTTGATTGCAATATGATGGTCAACTCATTTAAATATGAATAGTACCTGCCGTGCACAGAGCGACTATATTATAATCTGGATTTATAGTCCATGAGCTGCTCCAAAAAAGTTAAGTGTCGTTGTTAGGTAATCCGCAAAAAAATGAATATACCATTTAAAAGTACTGAATATACTGAATATACTGAAATATATTGATTGCAACACTACATTTGTCACTACATTTTAAGTAATGAATAAATAGTACTGGGCCCACATGGTGTTGTTATACTAGTTTTCTGGATAAAAAGTGCAAAATCGCTACATATAAAATTTGAAATAAATCCGTAAAACAGTATTCGAGTTATTGCCAAAACAGATTAACAAACGGATAAACAGCTTTTCTATATCCATTTCAAACTTAGTTCAGTGGGATAATAAAAAGCACAATTCACTCAAGGGATATATAAAGACATGTTGGGTGGTTTTAACTGCGCTCACAGAACAATCTGAGAGAGACTCAACAACAACAGCAAGACTGCAGGATCAGAGAGAATCATGATGTACATTTTGCTGAGTTTAGCCGTCGGCTTGGTGATGCTACCTTACATCAATGCAAAATGCTGTTCAGGTATTTAAAGATTCATTGGGGTATATTTTTGAAAGTTCTTATGCTTTTTATATTTATTGAAATGGAGAATAAATCAAATAAAATAAAATAAAAAAAGCCATAAGAATATATAATGAATGTTAAATGTTGCATTACATTCTATCATAAATTGTTATATAATCCATTAATTATATGATACAAAAGATATTATAATTCTCATCTTTACTTTCTCTATCTAAGAGTACTTCACATTTGGATAGGTATTCTACTTGCATATAAGGCTTATATTATGGGAGGTTTTGGATATGGGGCATATTCTAAGGAAAATACCCCATATACAAAACTAATTTATCCTATGACAAGTGAGGTTTCACAAGTGAGGTTTTCAGGAGACCCATATCCAGGTTTATTTTCTTTAAATTATTAATTTTGAAAAATCCATCAACATTTTGGTCAAGAAAAATTCTATATCTGCTGCATCCATTTCGACTGTTCCTACACTGAACAAAAACATTTTCCCAGGAATATTAGAAGGGGAGATAGACTGTAAGTGGGATATATATATGTTCCGCTCCCCCAAAGATATCAATTATATATTCCCATGCTATGTACCTGAAGCCCCCTTTGCATATAGGACAATTTATTCAATTAGATATTTAACCATATATTATATAGCAAAAAGAGCATGTAGGTTGTCTCAAACAATTTCAGATGTGTCTTACTTGAATTATGAATATTTTCTGATCATGAACATGGGTATTCCCATTCATTGTTTCTAAGAAAAATATATAATGATAATTAAGTTAATCAGAGTAAGTGATATTAAGGGGCAATGGACCACTCAAAATACTTTTTCAAAAATGTTGACCTAATTTTCACCAAAATGCAACCTTTTATTATATTGTTGAATGCATAATTAGAATGTGCTTTGAGACATGTTCTATTTCCAAAAAGGAAAAGAGGATTCCCCAAGGGACTTTAAAGATATTGAATTTTGATGACCAAAATGAGCTGAAACCAATGCATGAGTTTCAAAGGGGAAAATAACATGGGGAACATTAATCTCAGAGGAATTCAGTTTTCCTTTCAAGAACTACTTGATTCATCAAAATAACGAAAAGTAATGCATTAAACATTGCAAAAAATATTGTATTTTTGGTGAAAATGAGGTCAACATCTTTGAAAAATATCTCCGAGTACGATTGACTCTATTATCATTGTACAGGGTGTTAAAAAAAACGCAACCCAAGGAAATCGCTATATCTTGAAAAATACTGGTTCAATTATGTTCATATTTTCAGGAAAGAAAGAAGAGACTGTGTATGTATAGCCCCTGTTGTTAGTTAGTTGTAAAACATGATGTCTTGGACACTTGCTCAAAAGACAGTTGTACTAGCAAAATACGAAAAATGTGAATGGAAAATCACTATATCTTGGAAAATACTTATTCAATTATGTTCATTTTTTCAGGAAAAGAAAGAAGAGACTGTGTATGTATTCACCTTTCCCCAAAGTCAGCTCATGAATATTATAATTAGCAAATCTGAAATCTCTGACGTCAGAGTAGGGCACATTTTCGCGGGAAAATCCTAACACATTAGAAGTCATTGGGAATCGTGACGGAAACGGGTTAATTTTATTGTCAAATTATGTTGAGTAGTAATAATATTTATGATAAATGTAATGGAATTCAATTAATTATACTCCCGTATATATTCCTCCTTCTTTATATTGTTCTGGGGAATCAAATGAATAGAGAAATATTGATGTGAAGAGTCCAATGTTTCCTGTACATTTTCAAATTACGCCGACTGTACAAAACCCCATGTTTAGTTCTTGACTGTCAAAATGTCAACACATCCCATGGTTATCTTAAGTTTATGTAATATTTTCTCATGGGGTGAAGGAGGGGGTACGGCTTAACCTTGAAAAAAAAGAATTCGACTCTCAACTCTGGGCCAAAGCGTTACTTTCACTTACGTTCAGCCACTTATTATTCCACATGACAATGTTACTTTAATTTTTTTATGTCTGCCGGAGAATTTGATAATGGTTACTTGCCCGTAGCCAGCTTTTACCAGGAGGGGGAGCTCTTTTCCAGGGGGGGGGGGGGGGCTTTTTCACAATTTTGGCTAAAAATTATGCGAAAAATTCTCAGAATGTTGAAAAACTGCATGATTTCTGGCCAGGGGGGAGCTTCCGCTTCCCCAGCTCCCCCTCTGGCTACGGGCCTGGGTTACATGAGTGATGACTAATTTCATTGAACAATGTTAAGGCCGTTCATGTATGCTTATTGAGACAATGTACCAGAGTTGCTTGTTTTACCGACGATCGTCTATTTGAAGAGATTTATCTCTTGAAAAGCCCATGGGCGTTCTTTTAAATATCGAACTTTTTAGAGAACTTACAGAATATGTTTGGACCGTTAGACCTTCAAGAGAGAAACTCAGGCAATTCAACCCCGTAGTCAGGATTCACGTGGGGGAGCGGTTTACCAAGGGGGGGGGAGCTTTTTGACAGTTTTGGCAAAATATCATGCACAAAGTGCTCAGAATGGTGAAAAGCTGCATGATTTTGAAAAAATATCTGACCAGGGGGGGGGGAGCGGCCGATGAGAAAAATGCAAGTGGACTTTGACATTTAAAACTGTTCTTCATATATTTTTTATTGGATACATAATGAACTATTTAATTGAATAATCATGATAAATGTATATTCCTAATCCATACAGTCTTATTGTTTGAATGATTGTCAATCTTTGGTTTGCGTAATTGGATTCACTTTGTTAAAAGACTAGCACTCGTATCAAAATTATTTCTATGGTTTGATTTACCGGATGGTGTATTTAAGCTTTTAAAAGGCAAAATAGTCAGAAAAATATATTTCACTTAGTTTTGTTATCATTTTATAATGAGATCTATTTCACTCATTGGGCGATCTAATAGTAATTGAAGTTTTGGCGCGAAATCTGCCCTGCTTTGACGTCATTGATTTTCATCGACCAATCAGCACAGCGGTCAAATGAGTACACTTTGGACTTTGGGGAAAGGTGAATAGCTCCTGTTGTCAGTAAGTTGTAAAACATGATGCCTTGGACACCTGCTCAAATGACAGTTGTTCTAGGAAAATATGAAAACGCAGTCAGAGGTGACTGCCACAGCAATAAAACCAAATAACTTTCTAACCATGGTGTTTTGGCACTTCAGACTTGGCACAAATTATCCTCATTCAATGTGTGGTGAATTTGTTGGAGTTTCATCAAAATCACTTCAGGGACTTTACAGAATTGGTCAAAATGCGTTCTTGAGTCTCCCTGAACCAGGGCATTTGACTGCGATTCTAAAGCATTTCAACCATGACAGTAAATTCTCTGAAGTGATTTTGATTTTACTCTACAGATTTACCATACATTGAATGAAGATGATTTGTGCCAAATTTGAGGAGCCAAAACTCTATGGTTAGAAAGTTATTTAATTTTTTTGAGGTTGCAGTCACCCCTGACTGCGTTTTTCGTATTTTCCTAGCACAACTGTCTTTTGAGCAGGTGTCCAAGGCATCATGTTTTACAACTAACCATTTACAGGAACTATACATATACTCCAGTAAAACCGTTGTAAATATTCACAAATAAATGAAAAAATTGCAACAAAATGTAAACCTAGTGTAATCAATAACCATTGGTAAGTAAAATGACATATCAAAAATCTAGAAAAATCTAAGTGGTGGAAAACCTTTAAATCACCATTTATACCCCCTGGGGTAATTTTATGAGGGGGTACTATGATAAACATTAATAATTTCTGTTATGTAACTGCAATCACAATAAAATTGTCAGGGATCATGCACCTATATATAGTTGAGTTGTCACAGCAAGTTTGATATAAATTGGTCAATTGGTTACCATAGCAACACAACTTAAATGCTCAAAATCTTTAATATTTCAGTAAATTTGAAGCTTCCTATACTAACTGATGTTGCCATTTCTCTTCAAATCATTTAGAAATGAACATAAAGTTACCCTTAAAACATATATGGGGAGTGTTTAATAAGATAACATGATTAATTTGATGAATTATATGATATCTTTGTCTCTGGACTATATTTTATTAGGTGACCATCACTCTATCCACTCAAAAGTGGGCGTGGCACTTTTTGGTGATAATTTCCTAGAAATGTCATTTTACAGGATCAGTCACAGTTATATTTATAGAGGTCATGGATGCTGATGTAATTATTTAATGTAATGAGTCTGAACATGATTGGTCAAGGGGTTGCCATAGTAACAGAGCATAATAAACGCAAATAGTATAGTACATATGTTCTATAAACACTTATAATACTGGATGAGCATGGCATGTGGGATGTTGAATTGGTCGAATAATGTGCATTCATGGCTTAGATTATTTTGTATGCCTTATTTTCATCTAGTATTATTAAATAATTAAAATAATAAACATTGTCTATGTAATATTCCATTATACCAAATTACAAGCATTATTTAAATATTGCAATTTTACCAAAAATATCCTTGATGTGATTGCAAATTTAATCTGCATACCTAGGAATAAGTTGATTATGAAAAGATAAATTACATCATGTAATTAGGTTGAGTTATACATGTAATGCTTCAATACACAAAGTTGTCAGATGTCATTTGCCTTGCTGAGCTGTGATGAGCTGATAAGCAGTGCTGAAAAGCTGTCCTGGTAGGTGAGCTGAAAAGTTGGTTAGCTGTATTTGGACACAGGTATGATTTTGATTTAATTGTCCAGAAACAAGCTGAATCCAAAAGTCCACATTTAGTGGTGCGGTATCCCCAAGTCCACATTTTTTGGTGTGGTATCCCCAAGTCCACATTTTGTGGTGCGGTATTCCCAAGTCCACATTTTGTGGTGCGGTATTCCCAAGTCCACATTTTGTGGTGCGGTATTCCCAAGTCCACATTATGTGGTGCGGTATTACCAAGTCCACATTTTGTGGTGGGCTATTCCCAAGTCCACATTTTGTTGTGTGTATCCCCAAGTTTACATTTGTGGTGCGGTATCCCAAAGTTCACATTTTGTGGTAAGGTTGTGTAATTGTGTTGATACACAGTCTATTGTATATATAGCTGACGATTTTTTTCTATGTCTTAGTGTTACTATTGTGACATTACACTATACCTCCTTTATCGAGACAATTATATACTTGTATATTCTCATGACATGTAAATGGTAGATATATAATAATACTGTACATACAGTCTTGCTTCATTCACATATAGTTATTCAGTCATAGGGAACCATCCATAGCAATTAGCTAAGCTGTTATGTGATAAAATATGAATTACATGAGACAGTTTATTGTAGTTAAGATAGTTAACATAATTTAGTTAGAGTAGATAAGATATACAAGATTAGTTAAGTAGTAAGTTAAGTAGAAATCATAATCATGGCTGAGATGATGAATGTGGATAATGATGAGTGCATACTTTGTAATGAAACACTCTGTGACAGTACTGTGCCAACTGTAAAACTGGGTGAAAAGGGCATGTCAGGTTTACAAAAGGCAATTAATGCTAGAAATGATAGCTTTACTATAGCAGTTGGGCAAGTTGTTCATGTCCATTGTAGAAAAGAGTATACAAATACTAGTGTCATATCTGCTTTGAAACGGAAACTAAGTGCACCAACAGAAAGAAATTCCAAAAATCTAAGATCTCAAGAAGTCAAATTCAATTATAAGACAAATTACCTATTTTGTGGACAGGGTGACCCATATCAAGGTAGAAAGACTGATTTCAAACTGAACCCTATAATGACCCTAGACTATAGTTCCACATGTTTAAAAATATGCGACAAACTTAATTCGCCATGGAGCGATGAAGTAAAAGATCGGATGCTTTTTTTGTCCAGACCTTCCAGCAGCAGATGCTGTGTACCTTAAAGTATCTAGCACAAACTTTAGAACTGGGAGGGATGTCCCCCGAATTTTTGAACAGGGTGGTTCAAAGGTTAAAAATGTGGGAAGGCCACAAGAAGAAGAAAGGGAGAATGCTTTTAAAATGGTAGTAAAATATCTAGAGCAAGCTGAAGATGAGCAAATTTCAATTGAGGACACATTGGAAAATATGAATGAGTATTTAGAAGGAAATGAGCCTTTCAGTTGCCGTTAGAGGCATTTGTGCAAACACAAATAAAATTGATGATATTGATTTAGATACAGTGTAATTGCATTGTCATGGAAAATGAAAAGTTTTCAAGCATTGATAATTAAGTCATGGTATAAATATAAAAGAGTATTGTATATTTTTGAAGTTCATTTCTCAATATAAAAAGGCAATTTGTATCCTTGCAGAAGCAAACCATGATCTAGACATGTTATTCGAAAAGCTGAAATAGTCTACCCCCCCAAAAAAAATTTATGTCAGAATCATTTTTATGCACTTTCCCATGTTCCATTCATCTACAAAATCATGTTCTATTGGATTGTACTCATCAATAGCACAATGATAAGACAAAAATTCGGCTGATACACTTCAAATGCAAAACTTATTAGGTCGAGCTAACCCTGACCCTAAAATTGAACCTGAAAAATTAACACATTTATGATATTTTTAGCATTTTTTCTGACAAACCTATTAAGCTCAAGTTTTGATATTGACCATGCCTAATCATTGACATTAGTTCAGCTAGCATGAATTTTTACAAGTTACCATGAAGCCTGATAATAGCTGTTATAAATAAATATAGTGAAAAATGATCCAAAATATAATACAAGGTAGGGTATAAACAAACACAAAAATACATTTTCTGACAATTTTTAATTTTCTGTTGAATAGATTTCTCAATTTTAATATGTCTCTGATGCATATCCAAAAAAAAGAACTACAATTTTGTAATGAGAGCCGAATGAGATTTTTTTAAAGATATATCATTGAGATTTAGGGGGTGATTAAGGGGGGTATCTTCATCCCTTGAATTCTTAGTCTTCCACTGCTTAGATTTTTCTAGATTTTTGATATGTTGTTTCACTTACCAATGGTTATTGATTACACTAGGTTTACATTGTGTTGCAATTTTTTCATTTATTTTTCAAGATTTTACTGGAGTAATACACAGTCTCTTCTTTATTTCCTGAAAATATGAACATAATTGAACCAGTATTTTTCAAGATATAGCGATTCCTTTGGGTTGCGTTTTTTATTTAACACCCTGTATGAACTTTTCTTTGAGATAATGTATGGCTTTAAAAGTTATACCTGTCTTCGTGTTCAGAAAATAGTCATAATCCAAGATATAACCGTCTCAAATTGTTCGTGATAACCTATGTGAACCCTTTCCAAAATATTTTTCAAAAAAGAAGAGAATGTAGGTGGCTCAATCTAGAAGGACCTAAATCAAAACAAAATCTTGTTGAATTTGGACTTCTAACCATATAATGATTCTTGTAAAAATGTAAGAGAAAAATGTAAGAGAATTTGATTCTGGAATACAAAAAGTTGGGTATATTTATCACATCATAATTGTAAGAAAGATTTGACTCTATGATTTATCTGATAAAAGGAAATAACTTTGTTTCAATTTCATAAAGAATATGTATGGTTCTACCATATTTTGGGGTTTCAGTAATTGAACTCTTACAGCCAGAACTGAGTAAAAACAAAACTAAGTAATTTAAGCCTGATGGATTATATGGCATTTAGGGCATTACTAATCCAAACCATGAAAAGTGAAGGATATGAATTCAAGATTCCCACCTGTATGGGTGTCAGTTGCCTGTACATTGATATAATTGATGAATAAAACAACTATGCAAACTGAATGTAAAGATTCAATTTTGTTTGGACTTGAAAACCTAACATATGCATATGAGATACATTTGGACATCTTAATACAAATCAAAGCATTTATTGCTGACTAAAGCTTTTTTTCACCATAAAAACAACGCAATCAATCCAAATGAAGCAAGCAAGTCCAAACAATCACTCTTGAATCACTAATGTCACTAATTACCATATTGTCATCAACAAATGGACAGACAGAAAATGGGTGATCCCATTACATGTAGCTCCACATGTCTCTTAAAACTATAACACTATACAACTGTAACCATAGCATCCATATAAGTTACTCAAGTTCATAATTTTGTTATGAAACTATCACATGTTAAAGATAATTGATTGATCTTAGAATAAAAATTTCAAGACTTATGGGACAACCCTCGTATTCATTGAACCATAATAATGTATTCATTGAGCCATTATGTTTAAAACAAATGTTTTAGGGGAGTGCATTGGCGAATTCTTGGTTTCTGGACCAAATGGTGTTCCAGACTCTAATTTGACTGCATCAAGTGTATTGGACATTTATCATCAGCCATATAGAGCAAGACTTGGCACACCAGATAATAGGTTAGAACATAAAGATAATGGACAGATGTCAATGCGGTAGCCTGACAGTCGGTTCAGGGTATCTCAACATAAAGGGAACTCCTAGGGGGGTACATGGGCCAACCAGGAAGTTTTCTTTCAATTTTAGATGAGTAGTATAAACCTGAATCTATTTTTAAATATTATGGTTTTAAATTATAATCTATTCAAATTCTATCACTGTTAAATTATATATCTGCTTTAATATGGGCTTATTAGTCTTTTGCAGATTATTGACATAGACATAGTACATGTTTATTAGCCTCAAATTTGAAAATCTGGAGTCTATTGCTTTTGAAAGTTTTCTGTAAAAGAAAGGGACCTCAAAAGCTACCTAGCTTTAAAATTTGGACACCAAAATGCCTAGGTCAAAATCAAGGTCAAATTTATAGTTTTAACTTATTTTTGTGATTCAGACACTTCACTTCGATGATTTGCTTCCAAATTTTGTATACAGGTAGCAAAGAGTGTACTAATAGTGTCAGCCTTTGCCGTCAGAAAGAATTTTGACCCACTTTTGAGATATGGTGTCCAAAAAGTAGGTCAAACTAAAAGGTTCTCCAAATTTAACATATGACTTATGAATTAAGGGTAGAATTTTCTCAGGAATCCGAATCTGCAATCCGACTTTCGGTTCGGAAGTTGTGGCATTTTGAAAGCTCAAAAATCGCTAAATTTGCTGCCCCATGTTATGGCAATGGGAAAAAGATTTTTTTGAAGTGTAAAATACGAGATCTAGACTGAGTACAGCTTTACATAATAAAAGTCTATAGAAGAAAGGGACCTCAAAAGCTATCTAGCTTCAAAATTTGGACACCAAAATGCCTAGGTCAAAATCTAGGTCAAATTTATAGTTTTTTACTTATTTTTGCGATTCTGACACTATACTTTAATTATTTGCTTCAACATTTTGTATACCGGTAGGAAAGAGTTTACTAATAGTGTTAGCCTTTTGCCGTCAGAAAGTATTTTGACCCACTTTTGAGATGGTGTCCGAAAAGTGGGTCAAAATAAGAAGTTCTCCAAATTTAACGTATGAGTTATGAATTAAAGGTAGTAGGAATCTGAATCTTTAAATCAAATTTCGATCCAACTTCTGGTTAGATAGTTATAGCGGTTTGAAGTCTCGAAAAGTTGATATGATGATATCCCCATGTTAAGTCAATGGAGTCGAAGATAACCTACTTAAGAGTTGTCTAAATGTCTATATTCTAGATGACTCAGCTTATTCTGAATGGCTCAGCTTACAGTATTTTGGATGACTCAGCTTAAAAAAAGTTTGAAATCTGGAGTCTTAAATTGAACTTGTTCAATTTACATGTCTAGTTATTCTTTCTTTCTCCACACGTTTTCTCAGCAACTAGAAGAACTTACTTAAATCTACTTACATGGTACGAGTGTGGTTCATAAAGTAAGGTGCACTTTGATCTAATTTCAAGAGTTTCTACTTATCTTAGAAACTTCTAACGTTAATTAACATAATATTAAGGAATGTTGTCTACAATTTTTCTGAAAAATTCAAAATATTCTGTTCAGTGACCTTTCCTAAGCTCCTACTTTTAGCTATTTTTCAGTCACATTTTCAGAGGACTGAAAAAGTTATTTCGTCATGTTTAGGGTTATTCTGACCATGGCCATTGTGATCCTGGTCATGTAAATAATACGTGGAACTAGTTTAACTGTCTGGAGGTCAAAACAGAACTATGATATCTTGGTTCAAAAAATATTTGAAATCCAGCATGGCTTTGTCACCGGTTTTTGTCATTTCCTGTTAACTACCGCGGCACCTTAAATTGAACTTGTTGTGATAGCATGTTTATTTAAATAATGATAGGCCATTCAATATGGTGAAATTCAGTGCAAATTCTGTCCAACGAGTATAGAATTTCACCATTTTAAATGTCCTATTATAACCAAAATAACCAAACTTGCTGTTGTTTTCGCCATTCTAAAGTGTGAAGTCACAATACAACATAATACATATCGTACATAGATTCCTGGAAGCAGGTCAATTAGAGAATTAGAGAATGGGTATGCTGCATTCTGATTGGTTGATAAACTCAATTAGAGCATGGTCATGTTTGAATCCTGTATAACTCATAAAGCATTACGTCATCATTATTGCACACCTCTATACATCCATAAGTGTGATATTCTTGACGATAAATGACGATTTATAAAAATATCACACTTATGGATGTATAGAGCTGCGCAATAATGATGATTTTATTTAATGATGATGTTGATCAAGTTATACAGGAACAATAAACATGCTATAAGTGAGTTGAGAAATCTCTCTATTATCAGTTACTATATCATTCTACGGCATTTGTCATTTGACCATAAACACCTGCTAATATGTTGCATAAGTTATGATTGTATCATTATTATATCGAAATTGTAGTTTTCCTGAGGAAAGAGGGGCCTGGGTTCCTTTACAACAAAATACTGAACAGTGGATTCAGGTAGACTTTGGTTCTGTGAAGAGAGTCAGTGGAGTTGTCACACAAGGGAGAGAAGAACTTAATTCTCTTCAATGGGTTACAGAATTCAGAATACTCTACAGAGAGAATGATGAACCATTCAGAGCTGTAACAAAGAATGGAATTGAGGTAATATATATAGAGGTTATTTAATGGGAAGTTTTTGATAAGGGTACATCTGAGGGAAATACAATATACAAGGGCCGATCAAAAAGTTTCTTACCGATGGCTCTAGATTTTATAATAAGAGGAGTTGGATGCTCAATTTTTTACATGAGACAGGGTAGTACGTTTGCTTGAGACTGTCTGAGCATCATTCAAATTGGTTCATTGGTAGTGACACAGAGTCAATACATATTTTCAATGATTGAATTAGGTGGAGCAGCGTTTTTTATGAAGAATTGTGCTAAGCTGCAGTTTTGGAAATTTCTAACACTAAGTAGTGTCATCTGTCAACAGACTGTAGTTTAATCATGTTTAATTAGTTTTTCTGCTTATATTCATTCTCATTCAAAATAAGTATTCAACCCCAGTTGCAATACACTTCCTATATCTGTCCACTCGATCCAAAAACACATGTTTAAGGCCTTCGTATGAGAGGTTTGAAACCATGTCGGTAAATTTCCAGAACCACAACTCAGCAGATATTTTATATATAACGCTGCTCCACCTAACTTTGTCATTGAAAATATGAATTGACTCTGTGTCACAACCAAACAACCAATTTATATGAAACTCGTACAGTTTCAAGCAAACTAACTACCCTGTCTCATATTAAAGTTTGAGCTTCCAACTCCTCTTATTATAAAATTGAGAGCCCTTGTATCTACCCGTGGGACCGTAGGGACCGAGGGTTGATAAATTGTATTTACCGAGGGATATACCCTGTATCAAAAATCGAGCATTTAATAACTGATTTATCCTATACTTACTAAATGATGAAGATTAGTAGATTATTAAGTATGGATTGAATGTTATGGAACGCTGAATGTTATGGAACGCTCGTGTAATAATTACAAAATGATAACTACAATCAAAACATGAATATATTATAACGATATAAAGTTCTTCACAGTTATTGTTTTTTTAAAACTCCACACTTTTTAACATAAAACGAAATTACCGGGTATTGCTGAGCAGGTGATATATATATTTATCCTATGCCAAGTAGAGTTTTAGGGAGATAAGTTGGTAAGATATATCCCGTATCCTGATTTTGAGGTTTCCATATCCTGAACCTCCATATCTCCCGCCATATCTCCCGCTCCAGGGCATATCTTCCCGCTTCGAAAAGAAAATTTGAAAAATTATGTACGGTCGGTTTGGATATGGGGTTCATCCCTTGAGATATGCACATCTACCCTCGGTCCCTCAGGTAGATATGCATATCTCCCTCTGGATAAACCCCATATCCAAAACCTCCCAGTACATAACCCTTATATATCCCGCTCATCTCAGCGGGAGATATATATATCACCCGCTCACCTCAGATATCAATTATATTCCCGCATGTTATTTACCTATAACACTACTAAGTATGGGATAAATATATATATATACAAGGCGTATAATTATGAGCCAAGAAAATCTGTTAAACTCCAATTTGAAAATTATATGCACCTCGTGTAAAGGGAGAGGATGAGAAATCAATATCTTGTGAATAGACTGTGGTCCATTCTGTAGAAGTGCTCTAGAAATGCATCCTTCCTGTCATGGAAGGTCACACATTCCAACATATTTCAAACAATCTGTACGATTATGCTGGACTCTTTCTGGGTAGTTGGACTTTATGTAGGGGTGGCAAACGGCCCTCGGGCCAATTTATACCCCTACCCCAAGAAAACCTTGGGTGTACTTGATTCGTAAAGATGGAATTAAAATACTTTTTGAATTTGAGTTCAACTTAAATGTGATAAATTGGATTAAGACGATTTTCTAAAAAAACATTTTGATTTTACAACTTCACCATCACACCTCATGAATGAAAGGAAAGCTGTACTTCTTTTTTAATTTATTTATAATTTGGGTCTGTTTTCGAGGTCACATGGCTATATTTGTATATTTCAAGTGCACACGTACTACACATCTTTCAATTCAAAAAGTGATAAACTAATAATACAAAAACTATTTTATTTCAGACATTTCCAGGAAACGATGATAAAGTCACCCCTGTACTCAACATGTTCAAAAGTGTGAAGGCAAGATTTATACGAATCAACCCCACAGCTTGGTTCTATATTGCATTGAGATTTGACGTCATAGGCTGTGAAATATAATCAAAGAAGCAGTTACCTTATATACATTTGTGATGTCATTTTGATTAAATTCCCCAAGAACTAAAATGAGGACATTTGGTATTGGTAATGGTTTTCTAAATAAAAGAAAAGAAAATCAAAGTATGCAACAGATTGTTGCAATAAATTTTTGCGGGAACTGACATATGCAGTAGGAGAATACAATGCATTCTTGACAATACCATAATAGGGACACAAAAATTGGAGAGCATTTCTCCTTCAAAATTGTAATAAAAATGTAAATACTGTAATGAAACATCAAAGACAAATACATGAAGGCTTAAAGGGTGACGCATATCGTTTAGCAAATCGAACGCTCGTTTCTGGTGTTGCTCACTGTTTAGTATAAAAGGCCCGATCCCGGAATAATACTCAAGGGTTCACAGGTTTGAGGTCGTTGTGTCAACACCTCTAACTGTTATATAGCATAAGTATATTATAGATCGTCACACATTTATAAAAGGGTGATTTTTATTTTGACAAATCAATTCCACATTTATGGGTGAAGTTTCAGGATCTTCTATTTGTGTATAATAAGGAAAAATTGGCATCTAAATTTCCCCATAACGTAATAGCACACAGCTTGGCATATGAAATATCCTACAAATGAAACAAAGCAAGACAAACCGGTTTCTAATACAAGAATTTATATTGGCTGTTGTACATGCATTATTTGAACGCAATCACTCTTTGGATAACGTTTTCAAAATCATTATAAACGGATTACTTTATCTCAAAGACAATTTCAATAAACTGGATTTTACAGAACTCCCCTTATTTCTTAAAAATGGACTGATCCAGTTGATTCGCCTGGAGCCGCCATATTGTTTTTATACGGGATGCTAATCGGAACCCTTTAAGGCATGAATCAAAAACTTTACACAATAAATAAGAAACAATTGCTAATTAAAAATTGACCAAAAAGTATATAATTCAAGCATGTCAAAGTCTTCTGCATGGGTAAACTATAGATAAATCTAAGCACAAAATAAAATCAGGTTTCTAGCAGAAATTCCCATCTCCAGGAGGCAAATACATACAAAATATGAACAAAACTAGAAAAACAGAAACACGGGGCAGCGAATAAAACTGAAGAAAACATATTTGATTAAATTACCCTGTTGAACATCTCATGATGAAAATAGTTAGAAAATTTGTACAATTCATTCAACATTATTGCTGCAGAAAAACTATCAAATGCAATCATCGTTGTTTCAAGGCAAGTTAGTGTGTAATAACTTGCACCCAGCATATACTGTGTAATGGCCACACATTATTTTTGAGATGCCATCTTGTTTTTGAATGATAAAAGGATGCATATAAGTGTACCCATAAGAACTTAGAAATTTCTTGAAAAGGATAAAATCGAATTCCAGAACATTTTTTAAACAATATGAATATTTATTAAGCATATATTTATTCTCAATAAATCCCAAAAATAATATTGAAAATATCGTTAAAAGTTGTTTTTAAAGATGATTCCAAGTCTTGCATGTTTGCTCTTCAGAGTAAGTAATTTTCACTTATATTCACAAAACCTTGATTAAAATCTTGAGTTTTGTAGATTGAATTCAGTATACTGGAAATGGCCCTGGCCTAAATATGACCAAAATTATGAGTGCTATAGTCGAAGATAGGGTGGATATTGAGTTGGAAAAGAGGATGGTAAAGTCAGGTACTCCAAGGGAACTCTTCTAAAATGCCTAAAAAGGTTTTAGGAGGATTACAAAATGCCACACCCCTATTTGAAGCTCATTACTCAAAAGAATTGCTGTTTTTAACAAGGCCAATTGAGACACACCGACTATCAATTTTGTGTAAAACTGAACTTTGATTTTGACCAAACACTAAATTTAAAAATGCCTTTTTAGGGTATTTCAGAAGAGTTCCCTTGGAGTATCTGCCCTCATCATCATCTTATTCCAACTCAATTTCCATCCTATCTTTGACGATAGCACCAATACTTTTGGTCACATTCAGGTCAGAGCCATATCCAGGATACTGATCTGAACTTTAATTTTAGCCAAACACTAATTCTGAAATACCTGTAACTTTTCCCCATTTTTGAGTTGAAGCATGATACTTGGCAAATCAATGTAACTTTGGATAAAGTCTAAAATGATATATGATACATACTATGGAGAGGGAGTCCCATACTTTCCAGACAACCTGTATATCATAAAATTGCTATTTACTTCATGACTGAAAACATGCTCATATTATATTTTAGGTTACAAATATACTGGTGCTCAGTATGGATATGAATGTTATTGTGGAAATGACCTTGGAAGGTTTGGACCAAAATCTGATTGAGAATGTTACATGGCATGAGAAGGAGACAGTGAAGAAAAGTATGGAAGATTCTGGAGAAACTAAATTTTTAGGCTCCTTGAAGTCGAAACATTCACTAACACGATGTTGAGGAAACAGCTAAGAAAAGTGTGGAGGAAGCTTGAGGAACTCAATATTTAGACTCCTTGAAGTTGAAACGCTCCCTCATTACAATGTCAAATAAAATATCAAGAAATGGATACTGCAAAAGTTATTTACAAGATATTTTAATGAATATTTTATCTCAGTTGATTGTTAGTTTAAGTACTTAATAGCTATCTATTAATAATTTAAGGAATTCTAGGTGACAAAAATAACAAAATATTGTTTCTGGGACAAGATCAAACGATTGTTACATATTCTTTACCTTACCTATTTTGTATTTTAATTAGACAACAGCAATGTCAAAGCGTAGCAAATCCCATCGAACAGCCATGGCTGGGATTTTTACAAACAAAGTATATAGAAAAAAATGGCAGCCATTTTTCAAAATGGCCACCTTCTACCAAAAGTGTCATTAGACAGTGTGCCATGCTTATAGTATTCACATAGCAAATATGAACAAAATCGCTCCACTACTTTTTATATAAAATACATTAAAATGGCGGCCATTCTTTAAAATGGAGGCCATTTTTCAAAATGGCCACCTTCTACCAAAAGTGTCATTAGACAGTGTACCATGCTTATAGTATTCCCATACCAAATATGAACAAAATCACTCCACTACTTTTCGAGTTACAGCGAAAATCGTAATATAACGAGTAAAGGCCGCCATTTTTCAAGATGGCTGCCATGTGCTTCTTTGATATCTACATTTCTAGCTTTATTAATGTCCTATATAATTTTTTTACATTTAAAACATATTGCTATTACAGTTTTACATATTGCACCTAAAATACTGTAAAATAGGCACTCAAATGGCTGCCATTATTAAATGAGCGGCCATTTTGAAAAAATCGGCTTTCAAGCAGAACTTCTACCCCATAGGGTATATGTGTACAAAATATGAATAAAATCGGGCTAACAGTATTTGAGTTATTGCCCGGATGGACGGACGTACGTACAGACGGACGGAGCCATTCCCTATATCCCTTCGAACTTCTTTTAGGTCGAAAATTCGGCCTAAAAAAGTTATTGTTTTCGGATTATCCTAATTCCAAAGTAATTAAGAAATTAACAAAAAAAATAAAATGCTGCATTTTTGGTGAAAATTGCGTCAGAATTAGGGAAAATTGGTGAAGATGGGTGGATTAGGGACAGCTTAAGAGATAATCTAATCAACTTGATTATCATCCTAATGTCATTTATTGAAGATAAGACATGGATCTAACAGAACCATTTGTTTTTGTGGTTTAAATATTCTTTGAACTAAAGAAATAGCCCTTTGAAAATGCTTGCCATATCTTACATGGCTTTTTTGAAAAGGAACTGATCACTTTTTCTTAGTCAGACGTGGCAAAAACCCAACCAACCAATTTCAAAATAAGAGAATTAATTATCTCCCGTGTGTCTCAGATAAACAATGTAGGGTTGTCTACTTTTCATTTATTTTTCAGTCTTAGCTGTTATCACTGGCATGTAGCGATTATAGCGGTCCTGTCTTGGCTTATTGAATTGTTACGAAGTTACGTATGCGGTGCGGAAGTTAGAGAGCAAATGACCATCATTTCAATGTAATAGTTTATGCAGGAAAATTGAGATTAGGCCATTGGAGTATTTGTTTCATGCATTTGTAAAACGTTACCCACTCATAGGTCATACTTATCGTTAAACCAATAACTCAAATATATGCCCTTGTACACCGATCACCTGTTGAAATTAATACAGGCCGATTTCAACAAATGTAAACGGCGATATATTTAAAATCGTATTCAAGCATGACCACGTCCCAACTTCTTTTGTTTTCTTTACAACTAAGCTATGACTGCAGTCTATTCAGTGTTGCGTATCGAACCTTGTTTATTATAAAAATAGTGCAACAACAAGCAGAATTCACACATTTACCTTATACTTATTCTCAACTGAAGACATTGAATTTATCTCTTAGGTTTTACATTATAAATATCTTAACATGCAGAATACGACAATAGAGGCTTAGGCCCAACTTTGTATGAATTTTATGAGAATAATCTGATTTTAGAGAAATGAAAAGAAAAATGTCCACACACTACACAAAATATTTATGGTTCCCCGGGAATACGTATGTGCTGCTTGTATATTAGAATCGTATTCCAGTTACAGAAAGAAGTACATATCATGCTAAACTATATACAACAGTTAGGCACTTGGAGGTTTTGGATACAGGGAATATCCCGAGGGATACATAATATGTCTTCCCTTGGTCCCTCGGGAAGAAATATTGTATATCTCTCGGGATATTCCCTGTATCCAAAACCTCCAATTGCATAACCCCTATATATTGGCCAAGGGATAATCCCAATATCCTGACTATAGGATAATATGTTTATCCCATACCAATCTTGGTCATCTGGTTCACATTGTTAAATCGTGGAAATATTTTAGAATATTCATGTCCAGTTTTGTTTTCTTGGCCGTGGGCGGATTTTCATGTTCTCTCAAATAATCCCATATTTATTTTCTCGAATTTTTTATTGATAAAGTGGATGCTCTTTCCCTTTTTAACTATCAAACAGACCCTGATTGTCTGTGTTTTCTCCATTGCCGTTTACAGTCATTCCACGAACGTTACAAATTATGAACAAATATGCAAGCGGCGATTATGACGTAGCGGGCAGATATACTACATCTGCCCGCTTGGAGCGGGACGTAAAGCTTTATCCCATGGTTGCAAGGAGGATATAGATCGAATATCACATGATGATATATTTGATATGTGGATCAAGATATCATATTTTAGCAAACAATTTACAAACCATCGAATATCACTTTTAAACTATCGAATATCACATCTTAAATAGAGGATATCCTATGA